ATAAAAAGGAGAGCATTGTGTTACATGATTCTGTTTACCAGAAAAAAAACGGAGCACATTGTGAATCAGTCTATCATATACGGAATTAAAGTGAAAAAAATTAATTTGAACCATAGTCACAACCTTCTGCTATATCTTCCTTGTTACTATGTAAATTTGTTACTTTTTTACCTTGCCTCGCAACTATAGCTTTAGCTATAGTTCCACCTGGGTCATGCTTTTAGTAAAACCGATCGTTTAAAAATGCTCTCCAATTAAGAAATGCATAGCTATGAGACGCACGCTTCTTTATCAACGGTTTGTCTGATTGGTATGGTTCCTTCGGACTTTATGTTTGTTATATTAAGTAGATGTTCCCTTTGTGCAGGCAAAAATTATCTAGTATATGGTTCGGTAGATATGTTGGAAACAGTGCCTTTTTTTGCATTATAATCATATTCTATCTATGATATGACTCATACGAGCACAAATGATAATTAAAACAATTCTCAATAAGCGACGATTGTTATGTTGCATGATTCACCATCAAGTAAAACTAATTCTCTGTGATGTATGATGTTTGTATGCAGAATGTTTATGCGTGGTTCAGTGTAATTTATTACAGTGTTATTCATTTCAGATAAAAGTTGCTTTCTCTTTTGTTGTCTTTACAGTTGAAATCATTTTAGTTTAGCTCTGCTTTTTGTAGAATACTGTTGTTAAAGAAATACTCTTCAAACATTATGTTAAGAGAATATTATACTCACGAATTCACTGCAGAAGCGACAATGCACAAGATTTCTTCTACTCGTAGAAAAGCAATCATTTCAGCGAGACAAGGACTGATCTTGTTAGTAATCTTTGAAGCATCATTTATTTCTGTCGTTGAACCTTGAGAATACCGTAAAAACCGTGCAACATTCACGTTTTGTACGCCATTTCACTGTGAGCCCCATGAAAGTATATAAGAACCACTACTATTTGAATAATATTCAAAGTTTCTGTCACACGAAGGTCGACTTATACCAGCTTCGATTTTTATTTGAACAGAATGATGGGATGTCCGAACAAAAACTAGCCAAATTAGCAAAACAGGTGTTGCTACAGAGGTGCAGACTCTATCCATAAAAATGAAAAACTTTCATCGACGGAATATTTCAAAAAAACACCCAGTAGTAACTTAAATATTTTCTTTTGCAATTATTTTTTAGTAACAATTCTGTTTTTTTAAAATCTTTCTGAAAAATTTTCTTCAACAGGCGCCAGAACAGAGGGAAATATTTTGTACCTTCGTGTTGCCTAACCGATATCCCTAGGATCTAATGTTACTCCAGATGTGCAACTACCCAGTTCACATGTGATTTTGCCGCATTTTTCCAACCAAGAACAGAGTGCCGTATTCCGTTGCAGCCACTGATAGCGCACGTCATTAAAAGACTTAATGTGACTCCTGTGGGATTTTTCACTTGATTAGGGATGGTATTATCAACCACAGAGGACATTCTCGAGAATGACCCTCCGGTGAAGCAGAAAAAAACACAATACTCCATTAAACAGCCTGAAAGAGATGATATTTCTCTCTTTAAAAAAGATCTCTTTTAGAAATGGTTGAAGGATATTTAGATTTTTTACTAGGAACAGTAAAACCCATACAGAGATATCGGTTAGACATTATTAGTTACTGTTATTGTTGTATATGTTTTTTTCAGTTGAAACATAAAGAGTAAAAGGACTAAAAAATAAAAAAAGTTACCCTTCTGCTTTTGAGTAAAGAGAAAAGACTCTCCTGATTTTAAGAATTTCAAATTATAGATTCAGCCCTGACTTAAACATGAATACAAGCTGAAACATCTGCGAAAGATATCGCATTCTTTACTACCTTTTCTTGTAGTTACGGCGACACATTCATGGAAACTTAGAAAAACTTAGAAAAGAAGATATAATTTCTGTCTTATTAATATTGCTAGGCAGCATTCAAACTATGTTAAGAAGCGAGTTGCCAACTCGACGTTTTCTGAAATCAGTAGTTTTTCTTCAAAAACAGCAGTTTATTCAGAGGTTTCCTCCTTCTTTACAGTCCATCTGCATTGTATCTGACATTCTATTGTGAGCCTTAAAATTCTGCTCAAGAACTGAAAAAAACAAGCGCATTTTAAAAAAATAATATTCGTTTGACATCTTTTTCATAACTGTTTATACACGACTAAGAAAACAAAGAAGATATTTCTAACCAAAAAGTTGAACGACAGAAGACAGAAAAGAGTAGAAAAAGTAAAATTGCTCTCATTCTAAACGGAGAACTTTGAATTAATGGCTGTATTCACCTTCAGATCATCTTTGTTTTAATATACGGAATAAAATACAATAAATACTCAAAATTAGTAGAAAATCATTAGTAGACCACTGGTCAAATCAGTAGAGCTCACATTTTCGCTTGAGGAGAGACATTTATCAAAAATTTCAACTCCATTTATTCTACAAAAATATTTTGACTTATCCATCATTCGACGCAATTTCATGAGCTGATTACTGATATCACATTTATTTTAAGAAAAAAGGCTCATTCGTAGAGAATCGCAGAATTTACTTTGAAAATCAGATTTTTCTGTGAGCCTTATCTTTTATTATATGAAAAGAACCACTACGCATTAACAGAATAGGTGAACAATAAACTAATGACCATTTTGGCATAATTTGGATAGAGACAACAAGAGTTAAACTTCTTATGCTGAATAATCCTGTTCGAAAACGTTTTTAGCGGTCGGTACTCGTAATTTTCTTTCTCGTACGCATTAAGTCCAAATTTCCAAACTCTTTCATTAATATATGATACTATTTCTATCATTACACCCATATTTTCAAGGTCTTTTTACTGTGGGACTATATCAAACGAGTAAAATAAATTCTTCAACACGCACTAGCGTATTTTAACATATTTCTTCTTAGAATGTTCGCTCAAACGAGAAAGACAGTTATAATTAAAGATAATGGTAAATAATAATAACGTTTATTAATCACTAATTAGAAATAATATATTTTTACTTCTATTCTAAATATCTACTTCTCTTTTCACTTTTTTTTTCAGTGACAGTCATCACAATTTTTCCCGTACTGTTGGGACTGAACATAAAAAAATTTTCTTAGTTCTGTTAGCAAAAAAACAAAAAGTCAACAACGGATAAAGTTGAAGATAGTTTGAAATTAATGGAAAAATTATATTATTGAACGAAAAACGGCTCTTGTTATATCCTGTTTTAATTCGAACAAAAGTATGTATGAACGAGTATATTATTTTATTATAAAATAATTGCGATTTTCCTGAGGCATTATAAAAGTTCCTCTCTTTTTCATTAGATAAAAAAATAACAGATACAAAACGAAAGAAATAAGATCAAATGTTTTATACTTAGATTCGTCAGAAAAAAACGAGACATTGCATACTGAGCATATATTGATTAAAGTAGTCTAGCATTAGTAGATAGTTTCAAAATTGAGCCTTCTGAGAGAAAAGTAGGAAACTGATGAATCAGAAGATGATAAAAAACGTTTTCAGTTGATACTTTTAAATGTTTTTGAATAAATTGAAAAAAGAATAGATAATTCAACGATTACGAACGATATCCATTTCAATATTTTTTCAATGTGAATGTAATGGAACAAATTTAAGTAAATTACTGGCTATCTTGACTAAGATTTTAAATGTCAATTTAGATCTGTTTTTCCGGTCACAATAACCATACTGTAAGTCGATCATTTTGAATTTGTGCTTCTACCAACTTTTCTTCCACCTGAAAGGCTCACGTACAAAAAAATAATCAAAGTATCTCCGTCGGGATTTATAAAAGTAAAGAAATATTATTACCGAAAGAAGGCCAAAATTTTTTTCTTCAATGGTTTAAATTTTAAAGCTGAATTTTTATTTTTGCTAATATGAGATAGTCAGTTCAAAAGTTATAGAAATTTCATCTTTAAGTTTAGAAACCAAAAGTACCTTAGATGCGTATTTCATCAGATAGAATTAATTTTTATTACTTTTCTTCGTGCAACTTTAATAGTACTGAAATTTAATATAATTTCCCTTTTGATTGCGTACATTATATAATCCTATATATATATATTTTATTTTCATCCTCAATATAGAAAATTCAAGTTGAATATAAAATTTTTATTTATTTTATAAGTTAAAGATGTTTACTCAACGTTTAGCTTTTTTCTTTTTATGAAATAATTACATTATGTTTATATGTGTGTGCTTCTTTCACTCAATTTGACTTCTTATTTAATATTATTACTAAATGATTCTTTTGTTTGTTGACATTAGCATTAACGTCTTATAATCTTTAATATTCGAATAGACATTATTAGAATGAAAGAACAATAAAAGAAAGGAAACATTTTTGTTTTTATTACATATAATATTATGTTTAGCAGTCATTTCTAAGTGTAGAGCATGCGTCTTGGTTCTGATTGTATAATTCATTGTTAGAATGAGAATGAAAGTAAAATGATATATATATATATATATTCTAATGTCGGAAGAAAAAAACCAAAAAATTCTCGCATGACACTATTAGAAAATTATATGAAATTACAAAATATATATATATATATATATTTTTTTTTTTGAGCGTTGTCGATAGTTTAGTAACTAGAAGAAAAAAGTAAATCAACGCTAATCGTTGGATATTTACGTAAGATATACTCAAATTCTATTGTTTATTATTTATAGGACAAATAAGACTATAAACACACCTGAAAACCTCAGATATTGAATCTTTTTTGTGGATAAATTTTCCCGGTATTATTCATAGTATTGTTAAAAACTATTAACTGAAGACTATGAAATTCCTTATAACATCATATAATGTGAATGAACGTCGCTGAAAAGACATCTTATTTATTCTACTGTTTTAGATTTTAAAATAGTTAACGTTCATTTAGATGAAATGTTAGATAAGATAGATACATGATAATTTTTTGCTTTTAAAAGACGTTCAGTGTTCACTTAAAGTATCAGTAAAATGGATGATCGTTTTCGAATTGTTGGTGATATTTCTATGAAAACAAGAAGTATTATTAAAGGTCATAAAGTTGAAATAAATTATGGAAAGAAAAATTCGAATGAATTAGGCATTATTCAATTATATAAACCTTTGACAACTAATCTACCGTATTTTCTCGTTCATATTACGAAATGTGGTATGTTAGTAGAACAGTATCTTAATGACTATACGGGATATTAGTTAAAGGGTACTGTTTAGACCCAGATGCTACTGTAGCCGTTGGAATTGCTTCATCGGGCATTGATAGCCATACAGGTGACTAGTAGAAATGTCGATACACTTCTGCTTTAAACAATGAAACAATTTATCTCATATAGGTGTATACAATAACTCGATTGGATATCACAGTACGACAGGTCGTGTTTATTCTTCTTACAAACTACATGCAAATACTTTAGGCGTACCATACACAAAAGGTAGGAATTTTTCATTTATTTTAAAGTAAGACTAATTATTTTAGATTTATATATTCAGATGATACAGTTAGTCTATATGTCACATATTTTGGAAATCATTTATCGACAACGCTTTTTTTCTTGAATGAGATACCAATTGCCACAAGGTAATCTATGATTGTCTTGTTTTATAAATCAGATGTCTATTTTTTGTCATACTTTTTAGATATCATTTTGAATCGGAAAAAGAACGTTATCTACCAACAATAACATTTTCTGGTGGTCGAATTGATGTATCTGTTTTGTGGCCACAGGCAGTCGATCAATTACCATCAATCACTGATGTAGCTGATCTGATCACAATAACGACCATTTTTAATTTGAATTAATTTTTTTTTGTTTAGATTCCAATATCTCAGTGGATCAGAGCGCCTATGAGTACGTATAATTCAAAAACAACATATTTTGAAAATCCATCAAAATTAGAAGATTTACCAGTACAAAGTCCTATATCATTAGGAAAATTATTTCGATATTTTGTTGTCACTCAACAAGATGTTTCAAGTTCAGGAAAAGGGGCGAGCGTTGGCTTAGCAACTTGTTCACCTCTAAAACCTACTCCGACATGTTCTTTACTCAAAGATTATTACACCTGGTATCCCAAACTAAAAAGTAACAAAACATAATGTATTAAGCACCTTAAACAAATAGATCTTTTCATTTTCTTTTTTAGTGAACGTAGGCAATACGATTGGCTGGGGTGTCTTCTATGATGAAGAATCTCGAGATGATAAAGCTGAACAACTATGTTTGGTTTATGTCATGTTCAATTCTGTTATTGTCGATGCATTGTTTGTTCTGCAGCCAGATGGAGGATTTATGCCTGTTGTTCTGTTACAACCATATGGTATAGTTAAAGATATAATAGTCTTCGGTATGCAAATTTTAAAATCTTTTTTTTATATATTTTTAGCTAAAAAAGTCTCTATTGAAAGAATGGATACGCAAACAAAAGAAGATCTAAGACGACTTCAAGCACTTTATAAACAAATGTTAGGTCCTGCAGTAGAGGTGTACGAAAAAGATATGCGTAAACGTGAATTAATTCGAGATTATTTTCGTCAAAGTGAACATGTATTAATAAAAGTGAATAATCAAACGTGTACCATATCGATACCAAAAAATGAGAGAGGAATTCATTATGTGCAATTTTTGAAACCGTTGACGTATGAAAGAAGATTTTTTTTCGTTGAATTAGAGCAATTAAGTAATTATCGATTTTAGCTTTAGATCATCAGTATTAAAATAAAATGATTTTCTTATTAAGGTGAGCATTCAGAAATAATTATTGGTATTGCATCATCGAAACATTCTCTAAATAAATTACTGGGCCTACTTACAGACACAATTGGTTATCATTCATTGGAAGGAAAATTATATTATAACAGCAAAGATGTTGGTAACATGAAAGGACATGTTTGTAAGAAAGGTTAGTAATGTCGAAATAATCCATCTTTTATTATTCATATATGTTTTTCTTTAGGAGACACAATGGGTATTGAAATTGCAGTGTTTGATAAAGATATGTCAGTAGCTTTGTTTTCAAAAAATTTTCGTCCGGTTGGTAAGTTAATTTACGCTATTTTAGCTGATTTAATCTTTCTACATCAGAATCTGTTTATATCAGTGTAATGATATTTAATGCGGTGCGAAGCTAAACCGCGTTTTAGCGATAAACTGGGTGTTTTATGCTCGACAAAAAAAGTGCGATTTTCTGTAACGGTTATCTCGAAAACTACAAATGGTATTTCAAAACTTTAAACGCTTATAGAGACAGAAGTGGCTGAATTGTGTCTTCTCCCCTTTTGAGACTGTTTGTATATTTCGTTGCTCGGATTTACAGCTCCAAACTAGATCTTTTGAACGCTTAGTTTTTTCAAAAAACACGATAATTAATCTGAGTCATACATGTACACGCGCTTTCATACCAGAGTACGTTCGTCTACCGTGTGATTCATTTTATGATCCTTCCCTATATCAACAAGTAATTATCGTAACTCTAGTCTCTAAATGCATCCTTGTATTACACACACTAAAAAATAATGTGTCGCAAATTGGGACATAATGTGCGACATAATCATCTGCGACACTGGGAGCGACTTGCGACACATTTTTTCCATTGAGACCGCGACACATTCCGCTGAGTATTTCTACTATCAAGAAAACAATAAAAATTAGGTATTTTTGATCTCTTATTCGATTTTAAGAATATTTTTAGTTCGTTTTGGATGCACTACGTAATGTCGCCGAGCTCAATCCGCCCGCAATATTCACAGACCTTCAAAATAGTCAGTTTCCCAGATCTGAGATTAATAGCGTAGTCAAGGCCGCGAATTGGTTAGTTTTCGTCAAAGAAAAAATGTTTAACGTAGAAAAAAGGTTAAAAAGACTTAGGCAGAGATCTTTAGCCACGAATAACATCAATGCAAAATTGAAAGAACTTAAAAAGCCCGAAAATTTTCGTATCTTTTACGTCTTAACGCCACCTATAGCTAGCTCATCAAAATTGAAGAGAAGCCAAGAAAAATTCTAATAAAGACTATTAAAAATAGTAAAACATATAATTTAGAAAGTTTTTTAAGAGAGTAGACCCTCAAATGACCTCAGGAACTGTGTCTAAAAGTTCTTAGTAACGGCGACACAAATATACGACACATTCTTTTGCGACACAATTTTCTCACAGGAGTTGCGACACATTTCACTGCAACACAAAATGCGACACAATATTTTTTACCAGATAATTAATGCTGAGTGTAAGTTAAATCCTGCGGACAATACTGTACACAATTTAATAAAAACCTGAGTTCTCTGTTGCCGTATCCTTCATTCTTTTGTTCCTGTTTCGCATCCCATTCGCAACTCTCGCTAGCGTGCGTGACTGCCGTCTAATTTAAACTACAGATTAATGAACTTTATTATTTTCAGGCACACGTTTTCTTACTTTGCAAGATCATTCAGAATTTATGCCAACAATTATGATCGAAAGTCATGGAGAACCAATAGAACTTCTTGCCTATTGGCACACAAGAGTGTCTGTACCACCTCATTTTAGCCTTGTGAGTTCATCAATATTTATTTTTCCATTAATTATTTAAAAACGAAAGGTTCATATTATTTATAGCGTAATGCTGAGGATTGGTGTGTACCGGAAGGAACAAAAATTGACATTAACGAAAAAATCTTTGAATTACCACCACATATTGGTACAAGTTCGTGTATTCAAGCGCCTTACAGTTTACATCGCAGTATGTAGAAAAAGTATTTTTATTTGATAATAAACTATTCTAGATCTTTCAACTCTATTTTATAGAATTTAATCATTTTTCAATTGTTTTAACTGATAAATTCAGTGAAAATAATCCTCCACCAGCAATAGCACTTTGTACAGCTTCTCCATTTGATCCTCCACCAAAGTCTCAATTTAAACAAGATTACCTCAGGTAATTACTGTATAATAATTCAGAGTGAATAGTTACCTAAGAATTATTCATATTACAGCAGCAGATAATATACCAATGAATCTAATAATTCTTTTACTTCTTGATGTTTTGATTGATAAAAAATATAAATTTACTTATCTAAACGATTTTTGAATAAAGAAGATGTCACAATTTTCTTATTATGTCTTTCTCTTATTAGCCCTATCAATATTTTTGTATGATTTCAAACGTCGAAAAGTAAAAGAATTTTAATAAACTATTAGATTTAAACGCTTGATGGTTACTGTTATTATATGAATGATTATTACCTTAGGTTTTGGCCAACTGGAGATGCAGCGAAATATATCAAACCAGGCGATAAGTATGTTAACTATGGTAGTTGTATTAAACAAGTGACAATATCTTTGTTTCGAGGAACTCCTCTTCAAGGTTAACAGTAAATAGAAAGGAGTTGTAGTTCAGATGTAGAATCGTGTATTTTTGGATAGTTTGAAACTATAATATAGAATACTATAATGAACTTCATCTTACTTGTACGTCAGAAGAATAAATATCAAATTAAACGTATTTCAACCTAAGCTTATTTTATATAGACTCGGTTGGGGAATAATATATCCGGATGAAACAATCACAAAAGAAGAAGAACAATTAGTTATTTGTTATTTGACTATTAATCGCAGTGTTGGCTATGTAAGAGTATTATTTCAACCTCCTGGTGGCCTATATCCAGTTGTTATTGGTAAGACTTTGTATAAGATAACAGTTGAATGATTGAGATTGTTGTGAATTTTTGTGTTTTCAGCACCACCAAATGGTAAGATAGGATTAGTCTTGATCGAACAAAACTTTTACTTCTCTTTGCCATTCAGTGACACGTATTAAGATGGACTTTTCCAGTACGAGAATCAGTACGCACGATTTTACGAAAGATCAAGTAAAAAGTATAATAAATGATGCACGACGACAAATTGACGAAGAATATAGAAATCAGCTACTGAGTAAGAACAGATTTTAGTTTGTACTATGACTTATATTCAACACTATTTCTCCGAAATAGTTTCACCTCACTCAAATTACTAATATACTTTGGAAACTCGAGTCTGTTTAATGAATTTTACTCTGGGTTTTCGTCGATATCTATTATTTGCACAGAAGACTCAGTTACAGCGATTCTTTTTGATCGCACGAATAAAATAATCAACTATGTATCATATTTGTTCGTTTTTAGCTTAATGTTATAAACATATATCCTAAGATGAATTCTTTTACAAAAAAATCATTCTTACACGTAAGTTGAAGTATAGCGTATGCCATCATAACAAAGTGGACTGTGAATGTCATTTAGTATTAGCTCAACATTGTCAGTTTTATTGTTGTACTTTGGCACTAAAGCTTCCAATTTTTAATTCATTATTATTTCGAAAGCCCATCACTCTTATATTTTAGTAGCTTATTCTTGCATATATGCTTCTTTTACGAAGCGTTTTTATGACATAGCTTATGCATGCATTATCATGTTAGTATTTATGTTGAACGACATGAATTCCTTTAGTCGATTTACACAGTCCCTTTTAATAATTTAAGACTATGGACAAAGTACGAGTTTTTATTGCATTATAGTGCTGACTGTTACGGTTCGCAGTGGAAATGGCCATTCCTTGAGATTGAAAAAGGCTGGAGAGTTCACGCTGTCGTTAATCGATAGAGTAGACCGAGGTACATCTTCTCGTAAGCAAAACAAATTCTAAATTTCTTTTCGAAAGTAGGATTTCAAGCGAATCTTCGGAAAATCTAATAGCAGAAGAAAAAGGTTCAGGTCGAAAAAAATACCAAATATGCGAAGTTTTCAGTTTTTTCGCCTTTCGTATAGTTTATGTAGTTCTCTTGATTGAAGTTCTAAAACTAAAGTTTAGGTATGGCTCTTTGTAGAGCATCTTTTAAAAAAACACTAATCTTAGGATCCTAAAGGAACACGAGAAAAATAGAAAATACTAAGAAGCTCATTCATTATGACGCACTCGATAGAAATTTCCATAATTCTACAGCCAATAAGCATCATGCGGAATATCAATTACACTCATAAATCCAGTTTTTCATGGGCTTTAATCTGGTATAAATACTTTCTGATATTATCTGTCCTTTAGGTTGTAGAAGGGGGGAGGCAAAGGTTATGTGGCACTCTGTATAATAAAATAGGATTCCTGTTTTAATTTACGACTGAAAAGTCATAGCTCACTCGACGTACGTTATGAGGACCTGAAAGCTGTGGGATATGAGTAATCTTCTCCGGTAAATGTCATTATAAGACTAAAAAGGAATTATTTTCTACCGAAAAAGTACTTTATGGATCAAAGACTTTGGTAGAAATGTTTTGAAAGACCATAGGGTTCTGCAACATGTTTTTGCAGTTTTATTATCGATAAGATTCAGAATACCCTAAATACCGTACATTAGAAAAATTTCAGATCCTCATAGTGTAGTTCGAGTGAGCTAGGACTTTCCTAATCTTAGCTGAAAGAAGTTTGGAACTAGAATTCTCTGAAAATCCTACTTTAGCAAAGAGATTTTGGAATTTGTTTTGCTTACGAAAAGATGTGTCTCGGTCTACTCTACTGATTAATGCAAGCATGAACTTTCTAGCTCTTTTCGATCTCATTCATTCTTATTCAAAAACGATCAAATTCACTGTTTCATAAGACAAACAGCAGTCCGCCGTCATAATGATCTATTTCACGAGACATGTGAATGTGGAATTGCTGAGAAAAACACTAGTAAATGTTTTAGATATTGAAAAAATTTTGCACAGTTGAAAATGCTATTCTAGACTGAGACAGATTTATATAGAATCTTTATTGAAGTATAAAAATCGGTAGTAAAATTTTGGCACACATTTATCACAAGTTTAGAAGTACTAGCAAAAGCCCATCACGTACCTTCTCTTATAAGAGTTAGGTAGCATGCATAGCCATGTTAAACGGTACAGTAAATTTCACATTGTCACGCGTGACGTTGTCCAGCATTTTTTTAAGTATCACAGTATTATCTAAAACAGATTTTTTCCTGTTACAGGCAATGGTACAAAAAATACGAAAAAACCTAGTGTATCTCATATGGAATTTATTCACACTGACCCTAATTCTAACTCTGATGAAGTGGCACAATATGAAGATGATCAGCTGGTAAAATCGTCAACATGCATCATTCTATAAAATATAGTCATAACGGCTTAAAGTAACATGGTAGAAAATGATGACCATTCGAGTTCGCCGTCTCAAGCTTAAAAATGATCCGAAGTCAAACGATTGTGAATGAAATGGACGAAGTAAAATAGCACGAATGTTCACTGAAGAATTTCAACATCTTTCTATTTCTTGCAATAGTATTTTTAACAAAAAATTAATGTTTGGTTTTTTAATTGTACATTTACACTGGGATTACACTATGTAAATAATCATGATTATTTTGAAAATCATGCTCAAAGATAATCATATTCGCGATCTTTAATCGCCTCTATCGAATAAAGATCATTATGGCACGCTCGTATATGAATGCTAATGATTCATACCTGTTTAATCATGATAAGTGCTGTGACACGCATTTTTTTAATCAAGATAAAATATAGTTATTGTTAATGGTGATGTAAAAAATGTGAGGTTACACTAGAAAATTCTTAATTGTGATTATCGTTTAATTACGCTTAAGGATAATCGTGATTATTTACGTAGTGTAAACCGAGTGAAAATATAAAAGCTTAAAATACTTTATTACATTAGACACTTTATTTTCATATTCAAGAAAACGAAATTGACAGCGAGTTTTTTTCCTTTAAAATTTTTATTTCACTTTATATAGTTTTTGTCATGTAGTTCTATATCCTCTATATATGCAATGTCCAGAAGATAAATAAAGAACTTTATTTTATCTTCTGCTTTCAATCTTCCTGTTACTTCAATGTCTCTGGATTCTACAAATGTAAAGGATGATATTCTGGTTTTGAAGGTTCATCACAACTTCCTGTTTTTCTTGAAGAACGAACGCTGTGTCGTTCGAAACGTAGAAAATTAGATTTCCAGTGGTCTATAATTTAACAAATTGGAACTGAAACTAGCTGCTGAGGTCACATCTATTATTTTATTTTCCATTTAGAGATTTTTGTGCATCCCTATATCTTAGCTGAATACGTTTATGTGCTATTTGACGCTAACTTTATTTCTCATCCTAAAGCGTTGAGCAGGATACAACGTTTGACATCCCGCAATATTCTTCAGAATTATGTGGGTAGCTCAGAACTTCTTCTAAAAGACTTGAAATTGTCCTCATTATCAGCTTGTCTCGAGCATTATCGATTGACTTATTTTCATAAGATTTACCACAGAAAAAGTTCCATCTCTACATTCAATTTTCTTTCACCACTCAATACTTGTCAGACTTCTCGTAAGGGTCATAATACACTCGTTGTAGTACTTAATTATAGATTAAAAACATCATATAGCTCATTTTTACCTAACACATTAAAGAGATTGGAATAACCTCCCGTCCTCTCTGGCTTTTCCACCAGTCATTTTATTTTTAATAAACTTCCTTAATTTCCCGAAGTCAACTTTCGCGCCTCAGTCGCGGCGCGATCGTGCTGTTGCTATCGCTGTTAAATCCCGCATATACCTATCTATCCGGAGTGATACTAAACTTCGACAGCCTTATGCTACTTATTTTCATGAAGGTGTTATTCAATCAGAAGATGGTACAACAAAATCAGTTAAAGAGATAGTATTGGAGAATCAGAAACGGTTTGAAACGAAGATGAGTAAATATGTGGAAAAAGCATTAGATGAGTTAAATGAACATGGTGTACATGAAGATAAATGGGCTGAATTGTGTTCATCAGCTGAACAACAAAGAGAAGAAGACGCAGAATTAATTAAAGAACGCTATAAAAAGCATGCTGAACTAGACCAGGATGAAAATCCAGATATCGAAAATTTGACGATTGAAAAATATGCTCATGTGCAAAAGCCAAAAAGTTCCTGTAAAATTATTCCCAAGAAGTTTACGTCAGAAACAGTAAAACGATTACTAAGACAATTGACAGAAGAAGAACTAAATATCTTCTACTATGTACAGCACCTCTCAATACAAATTCTGCTCCAATTCATGCAACATTTATGATAGGTGAACAAATGCACTCGATTAGTGAAAATTAAATAAACACCCTCCGTTCTAAACTCAATGGCCTTATGATTGTATTTATTGATGAAATATCGTTAATTGATCAGTCATTATGGAAAGAATTTCACGCACGTCTTGCTCAAATTATGTCTACTTCAGGTGCATGTATTCACTTTGGAAATATATATCTATTGTCGCTATTGGTGATTTTTATCAACTACCTCCTGTTTTCGGCTCACCACTTTATGTTAGACACAATATTATTGATTACTGGACAGACCTATTCGAATATTCAGAATTAACAATCTGTCAAAGAACAAAGGAGAAAGGATTCTATGTACTGTGTATCAGATTACGAAAGAAAAAGAAATCAGAATCTTTGACAAAAGAGGATGAATTACTGTTAAAAGCATGTGTCGAACGATATAAACAAAAATTATACAGAAAAGAGTCAACCCATTTATTTTCATGAAATGATTTTGTTGATGTTCACAATGCAGAAATGTTAACGGAAGTATGCACAGATATTATTGATATTCCATCAATAAATGTAAAATCAAAAAATAACTATAAAACTTTAATAAAAGGAAATCGACAACAGTCAAATTCAAAATGGAAAGCAAAAGTTGATAATTACAAGAATTTAAGAGTAGGTATAGGAGCATGTGTTGTTATTACAGAGAATATGTGTAAAGTAGATCGATTAGTCAAAGGAGCTTTTGACACAATTGTTGAAATTATCATGTATCCGGTCACGAAAGTGGTCCAGACAGTAAGAGCTACATTTGATAATCCTGCCTGTGGATTTCAACATCAACAAATGGTAATCTATGTAAGGCTGGGATTCAACAGTTCATAAAGTACAAGGACTAACTCTTCCAGCAGTTATTATTAATCCAGTGCATTATTCAAAAACTGGTCAGGATACACATGCGTAACCCGTCTTACTTCACTAGAGAATGTTTTTCTAACCGACCTAAATAGTAATGCTTTTTTCTGTGACGAAAGAATTGAAGAATCAGTTACAAGAATGAAAAGAATGAGTTATAAATATGCTAATTTAAATGATCAAGCTCAATTTCGTTTAGTACTTCACAATATTGAAGGTTTAAATGGATATTATATGGAAACGAAAAATCACAGTTGGTTAGATAAATGTGATATAGTATGTCTCACTGAAACATGGTTAACAACTGGAAAAAATGCACCAGAAATCAATTCTCATATAGATACTGGCTTCAATCGATGTTATGCATATGAGGATCTCTCCTTACCCAAGCACAAAAAAAATCATGAAGCGGACGCTGCATCTAGATTAAAAGTTACATTTATCTAGCTTCAGCTAGATGCAGTGAAATACATGAAAATTTGATATAGCTTCAGTTAGATTGAATCTAGCTTCAACTGGGTACAACTAGTTGCTATCGATTAATTGGGCAATTCATTGCGCCATTAATTGGTCTATGCAGCAGCCGTTTCAGCTAGTACACGATTTCAATCAGCATGTAGCTAGATAAATGCACCTTTTAATCTAGTTAATCTAGCTGTAAGTGGGCGCTGCAGCTATTTTTGCAGCTAGATTTTCTCACTTACTCAGTTTTGCTTGGGTAGCTGCAAGAGATAAAGATGGAGCAAGAATTTATATTAAATCCAGCTTAGGAATATCTCTAGTTATAATGCCATTGTGTGATGTTGAATGTATTTGTGTGAAAACAACAATAAATGAAGAATCATGTCTAATCCTTAAAATTTAAACACCTCCCCACAACGTCATCATCGACATTGAATCGTCAAGAATCTATTCGACAACAACAGAAAACAGCATTAAATGTTCAAAATGATCTTAATATATTCAACGAGAGACGTTCTCTATGTTCAATACGTTCGATGGGTAGTTTTGAAATTTGTGCAGATGTAAGTTCACCTATAACGAAGGTACACTTGCTCATTGACTGGATATAAGATTACATGGTTTTGTTAGCCGGTTTACTCGAATGAAACAGTGAATTTTCTTTTGTACACCTATTGCAATCTACAGTTGTTTTTGTTAAATTATCAAGATTAATATGACTTTTGCCGACAACTATATTGGTTCTATGATTTTGATCTGTTCTCTTATCATTTACACGCTGAATGGTAAGAAACAAGTGATATATTATTCGATCCATCATCGCCGTATTATTCTATGCCAGCTTATTATGTTTATGGGTTACGTTTAGCCGACAAAAACCAAGTACCATACAAAGAATTACGGTTCGTGGCGCTATTGAATGAACGCAAAATGAAATGTATAATGGACTTGTTTTCTGTCTATAACAAAATTACTGGCTTGTTCGTTAGATACAGATTATTTAGTCAGACATTTTTGTATTTGAAATGCGTGCGATATATGACTTAATCACATTTTATGGGGTCAGACTAATATTTTATGCATAAACTTTTTTCTCCAGGAGGATCTTAGTGGAAGTGAAAAACGAGAGTAGACAAAAACAATAGCACGTGCTATTTGTGAAAAATTGTTAGAAAAATCATCGAAAGAATGAGAATTAGTGTTTTTAGTTGGAATAAATCTGTTCGATTTTACACGCTTAGGATTCGACTCAATTTCTACAGGTATTTGAGCAGATGAACGCTCTTATGACTGATCCATCAAATACATCTATGATTATGAAAGAAATGGTCGCAGTGGGGTTTTAAAAGAAGATTTTACTTCTGTTATTTAATAATTCAAGTTTGTTTTGTTTTTAGATCAAGTCAGCCACGGTTTATAATGTTTGTATTAATTTTATGTTACTTGAAGGCTTTGAAATACTCGATTCACCAGCATGGACAATGAAGACAATATAAGAAAATAAATGATTCTTCGGAGACGAAAGATTAGGAAGACAACGTCATTTCTTTTGTACGCCTATTGCAATCTACAGTTGTTTTTGTTCAGTTAGCAAGATTAATATAACTTTTCTCGACAACCATCTTGTTTCTATGATTTCGATTCTTTTCGTTTGACATCTATACTTTCTCTAACAGCACAAATAAATTGCCACGACACATCATTACTATAAATAAAACCCTTTTAAAACCATTTCATTTTCATGTGATGATTCAGCATTCTCAATGATTTCTGTAATTTTTTTTAGCGAGTTTTACTTTTAGAGAAAATGAAATTTCGGAAGATTGGTGATTTTGAACGATTGCTTTAATTTCTTTAGTGCATTCGAGGCTTAGATGAAATTAAATATGTAAAGGTTAAGCGTGATTAGTGATTTTTAATTTCTTTACTGAAATTTGGTTCTAAAGAAAATTGAATATGTGAAGATTCAGGATTATCAATGACTCCTTTAGTTTGTTCAGTGAATGTTAGTTGTAAAGACAATCAAATATGGGAAAAGTCACGGTTACTCATGGCTCGTATAATTTGTTATGCACTTTTTGTGCTGGCAAAGGGATAGAGGCAATGGCATGATGGGATGCTAAATTAAGGATTTAAGGAAATGTCGTTGTTATTGAGTTTGATTAGCTGCTTTTGTTTTACGGGATGAGGCAGGGAAGTTATTTGAGAAAGTGTTTTAGGACCGTACGTGCGGTCACAGGTCACAGAAGATCCGCCGTATACGGCAGTCGTGAACTGCCGTATTTTGTCCTAATACAACCGCCGTATACGGTCGTTTACGACCGTGTCTATCGGACCTGGGTTTTTGCACAAACCTAGATATTCCGTAGCTGGGTTTACACAAAACATGAAGTAAAATGAATAAATGTTCATTCACACTCACTCTATAGACTACGCATATTACGGTAGAATGAGAGAGTGCTTTCATTTCTTTTCCATCTTTCGTTCCTTCCGATCATTCAAATATGACGTAGACTATAGAGTCAGTGTTCCTACTGATGGCAGGAAAATTTTCCTTTTTCGTAAATTTCAATTTTCTCACCGGTTTTTCAAGTGATTAGAAGGGATTTTAGATTCCGGGATAGAGGAAAAAATTCTCTATCCAACTATGTAAAAAGTTTTCAAAACTAATTTAGTTTGACTTAATTACAATGAAAAAAAGAAGAGACACGCTCGACTCTTTGCGATCTTGCGATGGCAGGCTCATCCAAATACACGGCGTGTTTTACACCCTCGAAGAAAAACAGTTTTTTTGATAGACAAAATTAAAATTTTTTAAAAGCAAAATATATAGAAATGTTCCTACGCCTATTGCAATCTACAGTTGTTTTTGTTCAGTTAGCAAGATTAATATAACTTTTCCCGACAACCATCTTGTTTCTATGATTTCGATTCTTTTCGTTTGATATCTGACATGCAACATGTTTTACTCGGTCTTGTCTTCGAGAACATGATGCATTAAGACAGATCAGGGTCAAACGCATTTTGCTTCTAACTCCCTTTCTGAAACGGCCGCTGCATTGACCAATTAATGGCGCAATGAATTGCCCAATTAATCGATAGCAACTAGTTGTACCCAGTTGAAGCTAGATTACTTATAGAATAGATTGAAGCTAGACACTTATAAAAAACTTTATCGGTTTCGGTTACGTAACTGGAACAGATAAATGGAACTCTTCGTAGAAAGGCGATTGCAACAAATAGAGAAAGTGAAAGCATTGCTTCCGAGGTCAGTGGAATGCTCGAAACTAACATGTTTTTTCATATTTTTAGATTCTGCGATCAAAAGTGGAGTTATGAAAAAATGTTTAGCCCGTTTGAACTTATTTTGACTGAGTTCTGAATTTTTGCAGGGCTACGGTAATTTATCAGCTGCTACGGTTACAGAAAACTCGAACGACAACTATTCTCCTCACTTTTTTATTGATTAAAATGAAATTCAAACATATATACCAGTATTTATTTAAAGAGGATTGTACTACAGAAAATACTTTTCCTCCTGAATTGAAATTCAACGATTTCGTTGAAGAGAGCATGATAAAGCTTGATCGGATATGTGCATTTAAAGTTGTATTATAGACTTTTTTGACTTTCGAAAATTACTTTTGAATACTTCGTTGCTCACAATCGCTAGTGTCACCTGTTTAATTTCGGTTTTGCGACTTCTTAACGTTCGGTCAAATAAAAACGGCATAGTGAATTCCAAAAATCTTTGATACAATGTTTAGATTCATTGCGAAATGTTTTTGCTGTACAGACATAAACATAAAAGTTAATGCATGCGGGCCAGTAGTTAAAAAAGCCGAATAGACTATTTAGAAATGATTCGATTGCTAGTTGATTCTGTGACTTTGAATAATTTTGTGATATTCTGTTGTAGATTTGATAGATTGAAATTGGCAGTGAACATACAACTACGACAAACACTTGTGACAAGAGCATTACAATCAACTGACGTTCTTTGTAACTCATTCGATACTGTGATAATTGATCTATAGGCATCACAACTGTGTTCAGACGATGGGTATTCTTGAGTGTAGTGAAACTGTAGAGCAGACAAAATAGAGAGAAAAGAAGAGGTGTAAACACAAAGGAAATAAAACGTACTGACCTTAAGCTGATTAAAATTGTCAGTGGTAGAAGACCAGTGACTACTAGTAGATAGTAGGAGATATACTGCTGAAATGCACTGCCAATAGCTGGCCCACACATGAAACGAGCTGAGGACGGCGTTACTTGATGAATTGTTGGAAGAATCAACAACGGTAGATGAACTAGAGACCAGAATAGTGTAATACCTATGACTGCCTGTAAAGTCTTGGTCACAGTCGTCGCCCATTGACGATGATTTACGTTGGAAAAAGTCACAAACATACGATCAACAGCAGCCATGATCAGATAGGAATTTGATAGAACACCGAAGAGATATACTAAATAATACCTTAGGCGACACACTGCTAGAGAATGTACAGTGAAATCAATTGAAAAACCGAAAGTCAATAGTGTCGTTACGATTATAAAGTCAACAAAGAAAAGATTAACGATTGTATAGGCTAAGAAATAGATTGTACATGGATTGCTACGTAACGATGGTTGCAGAAAAATAATTAAATTTAGAATACCACCAACGTTACCAAGAAAAATTAGCGGAGATAAAACATAACGAAACAATTGTGTTTGAATATTTGTTAGATCTACCATTCTATAAAGGTGTTATGATCAATGTAAGCTAAAAGAATATGATAACAGTTTTGTTCTGAATGATTCTCTTGACGTAAGGGAAAGAGAAATACATTTCTCTTGACATAAGGAAAACATTTCCCATTTTAAGTGCTTCTCTGACTAAAGAGAAAAAAGGAAATCAAGGTGTTTGCTGATGATAATTACTTTGATTATCTATATGTCACGAACTTTTGCTCATATAGAGTTTTAAAAGTTGCATGACAATTATTTTCATAGTTTTGCGCTACACATTTACGTATATAGGATAATTAGATTGATGAGAAGAAAGCGAATGATTATAGCATCGAACAAAACGTGGTTTAGAGATGTGTACAAGTACCATTTCCATATCCGTACTGACTTAAGGCTGGCGAGAAAGCACGTGAAAACCAACAATTAGTAAATAACATCGCTCCTTTCAATTGGCCATCATCACATTACGGGCAAATAATCTATATAGATAAAGCAACATCAGATGACGTTTTAGAAAATCTGCTCAACAGAATTAAGGATGTTCAAGTATTTACTATTGATACTGAATCAAAGAACCGTAAATCAACATCTTCAGAAACCAAACAACAACAAATACCTGCTATCATTCAAATTCAGGCCATACACAACGAACAATTAGCCACCGTTTTCATTTTAGAAGCTCAACATCTGCCATCTCCATCTTCTAAATCCTTTGAATCAATACGAAATTTGTGTCATCGAATATTTTCAGTAAATTCCATCATACTAGCATGGGGAGACCCCATTAAAGAATTAGCTCCCTTTTTCTTCACAAACTTATTTAATATAAATGACGTTAATAACAAAAGCAACAAATGCGACCTTCAAAAATTATTCACGAGTTTTTGGAACACCCGTCATCCTCACACTTCAGAATGTCTTCGTCATCCAAATACTCTTAGAAAACCGAATTTGCAAGGTCTTGAATTGATTTGTCATGTACTAACGGAGATCTTGAAGATGACGATATTAATTATAATATTAATGAAGATATTAATGATAATAAAAACGGCTGTGTTTGTCCAGATAGTGATAGACCATATAAACAAAACAAAACATTGTAGTCCTTACAAAAAACAATAAAAGCAACATTCAATATGGCATTAAGTAAAGAATTACGACTGAATAACTGGACATATGGTTTAGATCCCGAATTAAGAATGGAGTACATAATGAGATATTTATACAAGAAAAAGGATGGCAGATTATGCTATTCATGACGTTTTCGGACCGACACATATTTTCTTTTATTTATCAACTAAGATGTCTCTCTGTTCTGTTTCAGGTTTACAATCGTTGAAATTACCAGATTCATCACCATTTCCTAGTAGTAGCCCTGACAATGATAACAATAATAATATTGATATGCTTGATCAACAACAAAAACAAAAACCTTCCTTTTTAATTTTGTCAGATAGTCATGGAAAATTTAAACACACACAAATCGTGAAGAATTTGACGCAGCCGAAAGTTGTTTTCAGCGCAACTCTCTCTAAAGCTGCATCATCGACCGTATATAATTTCAAAATTTCATCTGGATTTATATCGAGATCTTTATGAATGTATGCAGCGGCAAGTCCGTTTAGTCCATTTTGTTTCATTTTAGACCGACAATAACTTTTAATTCTCGATAATTGACTGAAACTTCTTTCAGCAGAAGCTGTTGATACAGGCAATGTTGCCAAGAAAATTAATAAATAACGAATATTTAGATATAATACATTGTCTGTCTCTTTAATTGGTTCATTTATCCATTTTTCTCTCCAATCATTATCCATTTTAATTAAATCATTACATTTTTTATGCCATCTTTCTAATTCAGAATTCAATTGTAATGGTGATGGTAAACGATCAGCGAATTGTTTGTGAGGGGTGAGGGTGCCTCATGGACTTCAAACTTTGAATTTAGAGAAATAAACAGAGTGAAAATAAAGCTTGAAGACAAAAGATTCTCACTCACTGTCGGGTTCATCATCTGGAATGAATCACCATCAGGCGAAACCAGTCTACTATAAAGAAGAAGAAGTGCTCTTTTGAAGTGTGAACTCACTTGAGGATGAAGTTCTTTCATCGGAGATTGATCTTAACATAAAAGATGGATAAGTTTTGCACCTCAAAAAGCAATCGACTTTATCAAACGTCACAAGTACAATCAACGTTTCGCTCTTGTGCTTACTTTCGCATCCGGTATTTGCATCGAAAGCGATGCCGAAGTATGCACAGATACATTCTGGGACGCTATATTATGCGAACCATTGGATCTGGTTGGTTTCAGACACATACAACTAATTATTTCATGCATAGAGGAGACTGGTAGTACTTCAAGATTTCGTCGACACACCATGTTGATCGATTCTATAACAAAGTGGATAATAACTGCTGTGTTCATGGAACACGGCGTTATACGCAAAGAGCTCGGAGACTCATTACGAAGGACTACTTCATTAATACACGAACCAGCAATACAAGATACATTTACGAAACTCCTTAAAATCCAAGATCCGAAGATGAAGACTGATGTATTGTCATTCATTTCATGCCTTCATATTTCAAATCCGCCATCCACATTGATCCAATTACTACTCGTCCGACTTTGCGATGAGAATGCGGATGTCAGAATGAGTGCATGTGAAGCTCTCGGAAATCTGGACGGAAAAGTAGCCACCAATGACGTGATCAATAGGTTGGTGACTGTTGCACTTGGAGATAAGAATGATGATGTCAGAAGGAGTGCATGTATGGCTCTCGGGAATATGGGTGAAAACGCGGCAACCAATGACGTGATCCACAGGTTGGTGACTGTTGCACTTGGAGATAAGAATGATGATGTCAGAAGTAATGCATGTTACGCTCTCGGGAATATGGGTGAAAACGCGGCAACCAATGATGTGATCCACAACTTGATGACTGTTGCACTTGGGAATGCGAATACGAATGTCAGAATGAATGTATGTGGAGGTCTCGGAAATCCGGATGAAAAAGCAGGAACAAATAAAGTGATTGGGGCGGTGTTGGGTTATCCGTCTCGTGATCACGACAGGTGGGTTCAGGTTAAGGCCGCGCAAGCACTTGGAAAGTTTCTCTGTTCGTTCTCGACAATGGTGAAGTTAGACCCTAATGCAGTTGCGAAACTTGTTTCTTTTGTGAACAAATATGGCATAGATCATCTCAGAACTGTTCCTTCAGACAGGTTCATCCAGGTGTTCCTGTATACGAAAAATTGTGTCTGGCTCCCTGTAGTAGCGATTGTGGCACTTCTGCAAGGGAATGCTGTTACTATTACTGATAACACTATTGTCGTGTGTGGTAGTAGCGAAGAAGTAAAGGTATCTGTTTATGTTAGAGAAATGCGTGAGCAATTGATTAAAGCTTTTTCTGATCAGAGAGAAAGATTGCACTCTTCTTCCCTCTCAATAAATATATCGGAGAAACGTCATTTTGACGTAGCTGAGGGTGTTTGTAAGCGTTCAAAAAGTCACATCTAACTTGTGGAAACACCGTTTTTCCAAACTTTCTTTGTCACTTGTGAGTGATCCTGAAACGTCAGATGTCACCCTAGTGAAGCTTTTTTTCTCAAGCACATGACTTTCTTGAATTTCTTGAGTAAGAATCTCATGGCGTGGAGACATTTCTTACTCATGCAAAACGCATTTTTTCCGATGTCATGTGCTTGACTTATGT